CAGTAAACCAGGAAGATATGAACAATTCCTAGACCCTTGTACTCTACCAAGACTAAACCAGGAGCAAGCTGAAACCCTGAATAGACCAATAACAAGGGCTGAAGTAGAGGCAGCAATCAATAGCCTACCAACCAAAAAAAGTCCAGGTCCCGACAGGTTCACAGCCGAGTTCTACCAGACGTACAAAAAGGAGCTGGTTCCATTCCTTCCAAAACTGTATCAAACAATACAAAAGGAGAGAATCCTCCCTAACTCATTTTGTGAGACCAACATCATCCTGATACCAAAACCAGGCAGAGACTCAACTAAAAACAAAAACTTCAGGCCAATATCCATGATAAACGTCAATGCAAAAATCTTCAGTAAAATACTGGCAAACAGATTGCAACACCACATTAAGAAGCTTATCCATCACAACCAAGTAGGCTTCATCCCAGGGATGCAAGGCTGGTTCAACATAAGCAAATCCATAAATGTAATCTATCATATAAATGGATCCAAAGACAAAAACCACATGATTATCCCAATAGATGCAGAGAAGGCCTTCGATAAAATTCAACAGCCCTTCATGCTAAAAATTCTCAATAAGCAGGTATTGATGGAACATATCATAAAATGATAAAAGCTATATATGACAAACCTACAACCAATATCATACTGAATGGGCAAAAGCTGGAAGAATTCCCTTTGAAATCAGGCACTAGACAAGGATGCCCTCTCTCACCACTCCTATTCAACATAGTATTGGAAGTTCTAGCCAGAGCAATCAGGCAAGAAAAAGAAATAAAGGGTATTCAATTAGGAAAGGAGGAAGTAAAACTGTCTCTATTTGCAGATGACATGATTGTATATCTAGAAGACCCCATCGTCTAAGCCCAACGTCTTCTCAAACTGATAAGCAACTTCAACAAAGTCTCAGGATACAAAATCAATGGGTGGAAATCACAAGCATTCCTATATACTAATAACAGACTTAAAGAGAGCCAAACCAAGAGTGAACTCCCATTCACAATTACTACAAAGACAATAAAATACCTACGAATACAACTAACAAAGGCTGTAAGAGAGGACACAAACAGATGGATAAACATTCCATGCTCATGATTAGGAAGAAGCAATATCATGAAAATGGCCATACTGCCCAAAGTAATCTATAGATTCAACGCTGTCCCCATCAAGCTACCAATGACCTTCTTCACAGAACTGGAAAAAAACCACTTTAAACTTCATATGAAATCACAAAAGACCTGCATTGCCAGGACAATCCTAAGCAAAAAGAACAAAGCTGGAGTCATCACACTGCTGGACTTCAAACCATACTACAAGGCTACAGTAATCAAAACAGCATGGCACTGGTACCAAAACAGAGACATAGACCAATGGAACAGAACAGAGACCCCAGAAGAAACACCACACATCTACAGCCAACTGATCTTTGACAAACCTGGCAAAAACAAACAATGGGGAAAGGATTCCCTGTTTAATAAATGGTGTTGGGAAAACTGGCTAGCCATGTGCAGAAAGCAGAAACTGGACCCCTACCTGTCACCTTACACTAAAATTAACTCCAATGGATCAAAGATTTAAACATAAAACCTAACACCATAAAAACACTAGAAGAAAACGTAGGCAAAACCATCCAGGACATAGGCATAGGCAAGGACTTCATGACTAAAACACCAAAAGCAATGGCAATAAAAGCTAGGATAGACAAATGGGATCTAATTAAAATCCAGAGCTTCTGTACAGCAAATGAAACCATCATTAGAAGTGAATCAGCAACCAACAGAATGGGAAAAAAAATTTTGCAATCTACCAACTTGACAAAGGGCTAATATCCAGAATCTACAAAGAACTAAAACAGATATACAAGAGAAAAACAACCCCATTCAAAAGTGGGCAAAGGATATGAACAGACACTTTTCAAAAGAGGACATATATGAGGCCAACAAACATAGGAAAAAATGTTCATTATCACTGGTCATTAGAGAAATGCAAATCAAAACCACACTGAAATATCATCTCACGCCAGTTAGAACGGCGATCATTAAAAAATCTGGAGACAACAGATGCTGGAGAGGATGTGGAGAAACAGTTGGTGGGAGTGTAAATTAGTTCAACCATTGTGGAAGACAGTGTGGCCATTTCTCAAGGATCTAGAAATAGAAATTCCATTTGACCCAGTAATCCCACTACTGGGTATATACCTAAAGAACTATAAATTGTTCTACTATAAAGACACATGCACATGTATGTTCATTGCAGCCCTGTGTACAATAGCAAAGACCTGGAACCAAATATCCATCAATGTTAGACTGGACAAAGAAAATTGGTACATATACACCATGGAATACTACGCAGCCATAAAAAATGGTAAGTTTGTGTCCTTTGTAGGGACTTGGATGAATCTGGAAACCATCATTCTCAGCAAACTGACACAAGAACAGAAAGCCAAACACTGTATATTCTCACTCATAGGTGGGTGTTGAACAACGAGAACACTTGGACTCAGGGAGAGGAGCATCACACATTGGGGACAGTTGGGGGGGGTAGGGGAGAGACAGCAGGGGGTGGGGAGAGTGGGAGGGATAACATGGGGAGAAATGCCAGATAATAGTATGCACCTAAAGTAAAATAAATAAATTTAAAAATATAAATAAATAAAAGAAATATGACTCAGACTTTTCTAGAACTGAGGAAAGTCGCAAACCACTAGAATTGGATAGTCTAAATATTCCAAGCGAGACTAACAAAGAGACATCTACACCAAAGACATCATAAACTGCAGAATGCTGAAGACAGAGAAGTTCTTAAAAGCAACCAAAAAGAAAGGATAAATTAAAAATATATTGATTATTTGCTGACTTCACAATAGCAATAATGGAAGGCACATAATAGTGGAATAATATCTTTAAGGTGTTTAGAGAAAATAACTGTTAAGTTTCTATGGCTAGACAAACTATTTGTTCAAGATTGAGGACAAAATAAAGATATTTTGGATACCCCCAAAATGAAAAATCTTACAATCAATCACTAGGCCCTCTCTAAAAAAATAAAATACTCTTAAAGGATGCACATCAGGAAGTCAGAAAATGATCTGAAAGGTAAGACGAAATGTTGAACAAAGAAAATGATAAACATGTGAATAAGTCTTATTAATGATGGTATAAAATGAGGCCAATATCTACTACATGAGATTAGCATAAAACAAGACAGAAGTACTGGACAAGAATCGCATATATCAGCAGTGTACAAAATTGATCACACCAAAATGACTATGTTGGGCTTATTCCAAGAATGTATATTTGGTTTAACACTGGAAAATCTATAAATGAAATTCATTGCATTAAAAAATTAAGCATAATGCTGTATCATCACCTCATAGATAGAGCATATGCTTCTATTGTGTGGAATACTACACAGCAATGAAAATTGACAGATTATAGCTACACATATATAATGGAGAGTAAAAACATTTTGAAAAGGAGATCTACAGTAAGTTTCAATCATGTTTCACAAATATGCAAAAGTAAACATTGTTCTTCTGAATATATTGTATATATTCATATATATATATATATATATATATATAGAGAGAGAGAGAGAGAGAGAGAGAGAGAGTAAAATTCTAAAGGAAAGCAAGAAAAGAGTAAAGAAATAATTGATTATAATAATAACCTCTCAGAGGGGTAAGAAATCTTCGAAGGTATTGAAAAATGTTTTCTATTTCAAACTTTGTAGTGGATTCACAAGTTTTCATTCTATTATACTTTAAACACTATAAGTTTATTTTTTTCATGTACATAAATTATTAATATTAGAAAATTTTAATTTCAATTAAACTACGAATGCTTCAAAATTTGCTTCTCAAGTATGTAGGTAAGATATCTACACAAAATATAAAATAACAAAATGCAAATCTTGTGTTTTGAATAAGAAATCAGAAAAAGGGCTGAGAAACATGATTAAATTAGAAAAAGGATTGAGGAACATGAAGGAACAGAAAAAATGAGGCAAAAAGGCAACTATATAAAACATTCCCTAAAACAAAGCCAGACTAAAAGCCATCACCTAAAAAAACCTCATTCTTTACATTAAAATATGGCAAAAAATAGGCAGCAATAACTGAAATGAGGGAGATTAAAGTATCAGAATGGTTCTGGAACTAGTTAGATGGGTTACAGTCTTTTCCCCACCTTCTACTCTTTGTCCTTGTAAGAGCTAGAAAAAAAATATCTTCACATAAGGCATAAGAAGCACTGCAGTAATCATTTACTGTTTGTCTAGTATGTTATGGTTAAATACTGGTTTGCTGGAGATGACAAGATAAATAACAACAGTCTCTGCTGTGAGGGAGCTTTTCTAGTAAGAGAAATAGTTCAAACTCCAGCAGGTTGAGATGAGGTATAACTTATTGAATATAAAGATGATTGGAATTGTAATATTCTGTGTGGCAGAGACATTAACTACCCACTGAGTCTACCCGTGTTCCCCACAGTTCCTAGTCCCCTTACAGCTTAGTGGGATCATGTGACAAGTTATGGTAGGAGCCATGAGTGGAAGAGATGTGTGTCACCTGATGCTGAAGCATTAAAGAGCCAGTGTGTGATCCTCCAGCTTTTCCCCTGACCTAGAGATCTGGAAACTATGTGTCCAAGGATCAAAATCAGAGTGATTACTGAGTCACTGCAGTGAGAACTGATGCCATGGAGAGTTGCCTAACCTGCAGAGCACTTCCTGTAAGCAAAAAATAAAGTCTTGTGGAAAGTCACTGAGATTTCAGAATTTGTTACTGTCACATAACCCAGCACTGTGCATGCATACCACTAAAGGGAAAAAAAATCCTTCTGAAGACTTATAAAAACACATATGCCTACATATATGGAATGAATTGGATGCTTACACTAAGAAAGAAAAACTATATGGTCTCTGAAAATTCCCCGATATTCACCTCAAAAAATATAATAATAAAAATATACATAAAAACATATTAGCCTTACTTCACAACTTTGCCACTGGTTTGGGATACTTGGTCGAAACTTCTGGTCACAGACAACCTTTCTCATTTCCTCTATAGAGGGATCTGAAGGCACCATGTCATAATAAGGCAATTGGTACTCCTCAACAATTCCTGTAAGAAATTTGCATAATACATTTCCACGTGCAAATAATAAAGATGTCTATTTCAAATATTACCAATTAAGTTTTCTAGGCACAAGTGACACCCCAGGGAACTGGAAAGTCAAGTTTATTAAAATAATGTATCACTGTAAAATCAAGGATATAAATTTAAAGCACCCAGTTGAATAGTTATATAAAGTTATGAAATTTTATAAAAATTTTCATAACTATAAATTTTGAGTATATAAATTATAAAACAATTTCCTAATTATATAATATATAACAGTTCTATAATTTATATAAAATAAATTTTGTGTTTATTGAAATTATGTAAATTTTTATTCAATTAAAATGCCATTGTACAATTTAAAAGCAATGCCTACTTTGATTATGGAATTTGTAGCACAGCTTCATTGTTTTGTGAATGAAGTGCCTATATTTTCCCATCAGATAACTTTTTTAAAACAAAACAGCTTTTTCTCTTTGAAAAAGTTTAGGCAATCTTTTTAACATTGGATTTCTTACATTTAGACATTAGAACAACTGAACCTGAGAATGTTCTGGAGAAGAACCCAAAGGTAGTTGAAGATGGATAGTTCAATATGAAGATTAATATTTAAAGAGTCTCAAAGACAATGACAAAGACAACCTTAATTATCAGAATACTGGTTAAGTTCCAAGAAATTCCTTATAAAATCTTTTTAATTAACTGCAGTGCTTTTAATTTAAAATATGTAAGACTTGCCATAAAACTAGAAAACTAACTCTAATTCATGTCTGCTAAATTACTATTTTTACAGTTGAAGAAAAGGACAAAAATCTAAAAGCAAATCTAGACTAATATCGATATGAAATTTTTACAAAAAATAATTAACATGTTTGACATCTTGCTATTTGCCATGCATTGCCCTAAGGCCTTTACAGGTTTTAACTAATCAGTCCTCAAAACTACTGACTAAAGAAGGTACAATATTATTTCTATTTTATAGATGAGGAAACTGAGGCACAGACTGTTATAAATTTGTTAAGAGACATAGAGCTAAGTGGCAAATCTGGAATGCAAACCCTAGTATCCATGTTCAGCACCACTATAATTCTATTGCATTTAAAAACAGTTTTAGATCCCTGAATGTTTTACAATATGAATAAAAAAAAGTTGTATGTTTGCTCATTCAGACATAATTTTAACCTTAGAAGCTTTTCATAAAATCTGCAAAGTTTTTTAAAAAATCAGATTAATGTAATGCAAATAACATCAATACAAAGTGCAAAAAAATGACAATAGTTTAATAATGACAGCTCTTTAATTGAAAGTTTACTGTGAACAAGCTCTGTGCTAAAAGCTTCACATGAATTAATTCATTAAATCCTTAAAGCCCACAAGGTCAGTTTTTGTATTACCTTCATTTTACAGATGAGGAAAGTCAACTAAGTAACTTGCCTGAAGTTGGACATTCAAGCAACTGCTAAACCAATGCTCAGTCCTAAGTCTGTCTCACTTGAAAGTAAAAACTAAACCATTTTCTAGCAGCATTTAACTTTTTCTTCATTGAAGCAACAGTTTCATCAGACATATTTACAGGGCTCCCCCTTTCCTAATTATTCTCATTATTAAGTTCTTTTTCCTTTTTTTTTTTTTTTTTTTTTTT